TCCATGCAAAGCTGTGTGAATACGCTGAGTGTAACACTGTACATATATATGTTCACTGCAGTGAGCTTGGATGGCATCTGCTCTCTGGGCTTCATCACATTTCTCTTAACGCATAGCTGTGAGAATGTTTAAGAAAGGTGACTTCCTGAGGAAATAGTATTTCTTTCTTTCTCCTAAAGGTATGGATACTTCTTTTCAAAAGATTTTTGTTTTATTATTATTCAGATGTGTGTGTGTGTGTGTGTGTGTGTGTGTGAGAGAGAGAGAGAGAGAGAGAGAGAGAGAGAGAGAGAGAGAGAATATGAGAATGAAGGTGCCAATGGAGCAGTTTTGAATTCCTTGGAACTGGAGATAAAGGCAGTTGTAAACCACCTTATGGGGGTGATGGGAAAGAACTCAGGTCCTCTGCAAAAACAGCAAGTGCTCTTAACCACTGAACCATCTCTCCAGGTCAGGGTATTTTTTTCAGAAGCAAACTACCACCTGCTTCAGTATCTAACAAATATGTCCAGCATGTGAACTATATATGGCTGAGAACAGCTATGAAAGCAATCTGATACACAATCCTAAACTTACCTAGCATATTTTTTGTTTAAAAGCAATTGGGCAGGGTATATGTGGAATGCTTTTATTTATGTATTTGCAGCTTAACAGCATGGTTCTCAACAGTGTATGCTGTAGATGATAAAGTCATTTTACAATGTCAAAATGATGTGGGACTCCCTTTTGTATGCTGTGAATATGTTTTACTACTATTGGCTAATAAAGAAGCTGTTGGGCCAATGGCTTAGCAGAATATAGCCAGGCTGGAAGAGATATATAGAGAGAGAGTAGGCAGAGTCAAGAGACACAATGTAGCTGCCAAAGGAGAAAGTCTCCAGCCAAAACCTCACCTGGTGTGCCACAGTCTCTTGGTGATACACAGATTAATAGAAGTGGGTTAGTTCAAGATGTAAGAGCTAGTTAGAAATATTCCTGAATCATTGGTCAAACAGTGTTGAATTAATATAATTTCTGTGTGATTATTCGAGTCTGAATGGCCAGGAAATGAATGAGAAGGCTCTGCCTACAAAAAGCTAGATACACCTAAAAGTATTCTCTGCCCTAGGTTTTATGTCGACTGACATTTAAAGAGAAGAAGGGTGGTGCAGGGTGGCTTTAATATTATCCAATAATGCATTTTTCTATTTTTGCAATTTCAGATTTACTGTGTCTGACATTATTCATGCTTATGTGAGAAGCCTAAAAAGTTAGGCATGTTGACCAATATCTATAATCATAGCACTAGGAATGGTGAAGCAGGACAATCATGAATTCAAAGCCAGCCTGGGCTATATAGTAGGACTCTCTTTTAAAACAACTCCCAGGCAGTGGTGGTACATCCTTTTAATCCCAACACTTGGGAGGCAGAGACAAGCAGATCTCAGTGAGTTTAAGACCTACAGAGTGAGCTACAGGACAGTCAGGACTGTTACACAGAGAAACCCTGCCTCAGAAAACCAAAAAGAAAAAAAAAAAAAAAAACAGATTCTGTTTTCTATATGAAAAACACACATGCACATGTCAACTATTTTCTCTTACCAGGAACTCAGTTTTACACCTGGCTATCCACAGACTAAAGAGAACAATCTGATAAGGAAGAGTCATTTGAATAAAGCAATGTAATGGAAAGATCACTGAACTCTTGGCCAACTGTGCTTCAAGGTTAACTCTGCCACAGCTTAGTGCTTGACCTATATGACCAGGACACCATGTGACAGTCTTCAATAAGAGCAAACTATACGTCAGCCTGTGACTTCGCAGAGGCACTGACAATGATATACAGGAAAGGACTTAAGTCTCTGCTGCTTCAGAAGAACACATGCCAAATTATCCCAGACTCTGCTCTTCTTGAAGTAGTTTATACTGGATAAGTTCATTTGCTCTGGAGATTTGTGGAATAGATGATCCTCAAAGGTTCATGATAAGCATTGAAAAGAATTAGAGAAGAAATCAACATTAAGGTATTGATCATGGTTTAGATATATTCAACCTTGTTGGATAAACAAAATATAAGTAACTATTATATCTCACATGACAAACAAAGTGGCTCAAATAGTACTTTGGATTGGTCATTCTATCTTTCAGTCCTCTTGTCTATGAAAGAGTAAACAGAATGTGTAAATCATATGGATATTTGGTGCCCAAACCCTGTGACAATAAATCCTCACTTTTGGCTTGAAAAATAATAAAGACGCTCAAGGAAAGGAAACCAGATTCTCAGAGGAGGTTATCTAGGAGATACTTTGAGTAGTTTATCTACAAACTTTTCAACATTATGAAGTATAAACATTCCTATTTTCAGAAAAAAAGTTATTCACAGAGGCTGAATAATGCGCCCAGGATGCAAAGCTAGTAGAGCATTTAAGCAGTTAATTATCCATTGTCTGTTCTGATTAAGCCACCTGAGATCTCCCTTCTTCACTACAAATGTGGCTGACCAGCATGGAGACAGGAGGGATGAAAAAAGATCAAAACAAACCCAACATGAGCCAGGCTGTGGTGGCACATGTCTTTAATCTCAGCACTGGGGAGGCAGAGGTACGTGGAGCTCTGTGAGTTTGAGGCCAGCCTGGTCTATGGAGCTAGTTCCAGGACAGGCACCAAAGCTACACAGAGAAACCCTGTCTCAAAAAACAAAACCACCCAACACGAAGATAGAAGAGGAGTAGCAAACTTTAGCATGACTTACAGGAAATAAAGTTAAGAGATTATAAAGAAATTAGAATTCAGATGGGTAAGAAATGTGGGCTTGATCTTGTAGGTCAATAAAATGGAAGTGAAAATTGTAAGCTGGGAATTAGAAGATGAACAAAATCTATCTGGAACGCAGATATGTTTAACAAGGCAGAGATGGACTGAAGAAAATGTATGACAATACATTATTATTTAATATTCAAACACTTCAACATTTAGTTAAGTTATATACCAGTAGTATATCTATACTAAGTAACTTTTCATAGGGCTTTGCAGGCATTTTTAAAAAGTGGCTACTATGGCCTACCAATTCTTAGATAGGTCAGCAACTAATTCAACCTACAAATACCTCGAAAACAGAATATTCTTGTTCAAGGGCCATATTTAAAAGTTTAAATAGGAGGGTCAAAGAAGGGGTGAAACAGATTCTAAATCACAAACCCTTTGCCCAAGAAAAACTTGCAATGAAGTTCTATCTTCACATTTATAGAAACATTCAAAGCCTAAAGAATGATAGTGACTTCCATATAGTCCCAAATTCAGTTTCCACTTCAATACAATACATAACTCAAAATCATAGTTTCTACTTCAATGCAAAACCATCGTTCCCACCACTAAATAATAAATTTTCCTTCTCTTTCATGTATACAGAGGATGTCTGCCTGTATTAAGGTCTGAACTGGTGAGACTTGGTGCCTGGGCAACTCAAAAATCATTCTCCTAATTCTCAAGTTATCCATCTCAGTCCTTAGCTGCAGGGAAAGGCAACAACATCCTGTAACCTAAAGCGGAGCTGCTTCAAGCTTAAACACACCTGAGACCTAGTATGGGATCATATTCAGCCCTTCAACTATCAGGTGGACAATAACCTAATTTGCCAGTAACGTACATGCGACTCCGGCCCAACATAGACCAAATACACTTTGCTTCAACTGTCACCAGTGAGGTGATTGCTCACTGTGCCACGGAGAAATAGTTAAAAGAAGAAATGTGGAGGGGGGTGTGCAGCTGGGGTTTTCAAAGAGAACTGTAGTAAGTGGAATAGGGACAAAGGGTAAAATAAAGAACCAATTATCACCTCTTTTTAAAACACACAAGGCGTTGAATAGATGGCCTCCCTCCTAATTCTGTACATTTAACTTTATACTGAACTTTTCAGTTACTCATAAGCAGCACCCAAACTACATTCGTTTCTCTGCAAACAAATTAGAATGCCAATGTCTAAGTTAACAGGATATTCTAATTTAGCTTTCCAAAAGTTGTATTTGTATCTGCTACTAAAGGCATTCCCAGACTATGGTCCGTGACTTTCAAACAATTTCGAGGTAAATACTTAAAGTGATTAGGGTGAAAATATTCGCCCAATAAAGAGTGCAGGTGCAGAGAGTAACAGCATGAGAAATACCTCCTTTAACACACACACACATACACACACAGGGCGAGCCAAAGAGCTTATGTCTATTTTTGCAACTCTAAACAACCAGAGGCTAGATCTCAAAACCTCAAGCACCTAGCTTTGCTAAAAAGTCAGTTTTACTGTGCCAAACTAGAGGCAAGCCTCTAGCTGTCAACGCAGACTGTTAAGCACAGTAAATTCGTCTGACCCTTCGGACGACTCACTGAATTTCTACTACACCCTAAGAAGGATTCGTCCTAGAGACTCCCAGGCCCGGAAAGTCAGAAACCAAGGGAAAAGTCTGCTCCGGCGATGGACGCCAAAGCACTCCAGGAGGTCCAGTCAATAAGGCCTCTCCGAGCAGCCACACGGGGAAGTCTACCGCAGCCTCCCCTAGAGCTGCGGGCTCGGGTTCGGCTCACCACAAGTAGGCCCAGCGGCGGGACACCGGGCCTACGCTGCGGCCGTGCCGGACGAAGAAAGCCGAGCCCACTCGCCTGGCCAGTGCTGGCCTCGGCGCCCGCTCGCCCCCCAGCCCTTTCCTGTCAGCGCCCGCAGCCCACCGGACTCACAGCTTCAGCTGCTCGTAGGCCGCCGCCGCCATCGTGCACCAGCGCCTCCTTCCTCTTCTCTCCACCCGCAGCGGGGCCCGACACCACCTCGGCTACGGATACGGCGCGGCCGCTCTCTAGGTGCGGTAGCCCAAGGAGCCTCGGCCTGGTCCCACCCCCTCCCGGGACCGCCTCTCGGGAGAGCACGGAAGCCCGCGGCGGACAAACCAGTGCGCCAGCCGGGACCGCCGAGACACGCCTCCGACGCACGGATTGGACCGAGCCAAAGAACGTCGTGACGTCGCTACCGGAGATTGGTGCAACGCGCTGCGGTGAGAGGCGGAGTCCCGGTAGTGCTGCTCTGAGCAGAGCGGCTCAACGAAGCGACAAGAAGGGAGAACTGGAGGCAGGAAGCCTGTTGAAACTGCGTAATCGGAGATCAGCCATCGCGGAAAGGAGCCTTTCAGCACTGGGCCAGTGGCGCAATGGATAACGCGTCTGACTACGGATCAGAAGATTCTAGGTTCGACTCCTGGCTGGCTCGTAATGTGCCTTTTTTTTCCCCCCCTACATAGTTGAACGTTGCAAAGCCCCCTCAAAAAGAGTCATAGCTAGAATATCAAAGTCAAGTATCTTGAATTTTAATGCTGCTTTGCACAATTTTTTTTTTTTTGCCGTATTTGAAACCCAGGGTTGTCTAAAACGGTTTGCAAATTTCCTAGCGCCCCTGTTCTTAAAGCTGCGCTGGAGTCTGTTCACCAGTACAGTTAAGAAAACACTCCTGAGAGTGGAGGTTCGCAATCAGGGACGTGCGTGGCCGGTGTCTTTCCACCCGATGACGGAAGAGCTGACCGAAGGCTCCCTGCAAGTGGAACACAGGCGGCACTGAGGCGAGAAAGGCGCTGCTTCTGCTCTGCAGCGCAGTGGCGGGGCAGGAAACCCAGGGACGCTACAGGCGGCCTTGGCTAGTTCTGCCAGCAAAGCCAACCTGGCCTCCATTCCACAAGGAGACCTTAAAACTTCAGGGATTTCACAGTAAGAGACCCAGAAAAGCGAGAGCATGACGATTCATTTTACGCGACACCAGAGATGGTTGTGACAAAAAGGGGCTCAGTCTATTTATTTAACCAGTCATTCTATGATTATGTCCTAGATAGCATAATCTAACTCCCCAAGCGTTTATTTAAAATGTGCCAAATACAGGAAATTGTTAGGGACAGAAATAGAGCCGGGGTAAGGGGTGTGACTCACACTTGCAGCGCTGACTGACCAGGATGTAGACTGGGCTGGTCTGGAACTCAAATGGAACCTGCCTGCCTCTGCTTCTAGACAGCAGACAGCAAACCCAGCTTCTACATTGTGAGGGGTTTTGTTTGCTTATAATGAATTTATGGTGTTTTTTGTTTTGGTTTGTCCTTAAGGTTTTTTTGTCTGAGATTTAAGATCATTAAATATTCCTTGCGGATATTACAAAAACTAAGCATTTTAAGCATAAGTTTTATCGTGAAGATATGAGTTGTTGCCAGTTTCGACACTTAAAAAATAACACGGGCTGGGCGATGGTAGCGAAGCCTTTAATCCCAATGCTGAGAAGGCAGAGGCAGGCAGATTTCTGTGAGTTTGAGGCCAGCCTGGTGTTCAGAGCTAGTTCCAGGGCAGCCGGGGTGTTACACAGAACCCTATGTCTCCTACCCCCTACCTCTTCCCCCCCCCCAAAAAAAAGGAGGAAGAAGGAGGAAGAGGAAGGACGATAAGAAGATGAAGAAAAGACTATTTAGATGTCTTACGTTTGGGGTTTTTTTTTGGGGGGGGGGGTGGGGTGTCTTATATAAGACAGCAGGCCTTTACCTGGCTATGAAAGATGGAATTGGAACTCTTAGATTCTACATGCTCCCAAATGTTGAGATTACAAGCATGCACCCACACCTGACTCAAATGTTCTTGCTTTAAGATGTTCTATTTGGGTTAGCCAGGTAGACATTTTAAAGGTCCATTTCCTAAGCATTTAGATTTTTGGTAGATAGTTTCAAATCACTTTGTGGAAGAACTAAAGCAATATGCTTCCTGTCACCAGCATGTTTCCACACATGCTAAAAACATTAAACATTTTTACATACATGTAAATTAGATATTCAGGTCTGATGTGGTGGCATATACCCATAATACTACAATTGGAGAGACAAGGGTATTAATTTGGGGCCCTGTCTATAAATAAATAAATAGGGCATCAACATATAAATGTAGATATAAATTGTAGTTTCTTTGCAGTTATCACAAGTGAAAAACACTACTCTCTTTTTACTTCTATTTCTTGGCCTGATGATTATTTTCTCTTGGTGTATTCAATATTTTTCTCACAAACTTGACCTCTAAAGATATGTGTGCACATGCACTTGAGTGCAAACACTCCAGAAGGCTAGAGGTATGAGATCCGCCTGGAGCTGGGCGGGTGACATCCACCAAGGCAGGTGCTTAGGACAGAACTCGGGTCTTTTGTTGTTATACATCACAGTCTGCCAGTTTATCCTTGTTTAACCTAATTTTCACTCATATATTCACTCATATATAGGTGCTTTTTAAAATTTTGATTTGTGCTTGTATTTTACCGTAATCTGCTTATACTTTATCTTGTTGATCATTTTGATGTAACTAAGTCTTTAAGTCTTAAAACCTGTCAAACTGATCAATTACTCAGTGTTTCTCTCAGCATTTTATTTAGGAGGTGGTGGCGCATCTTTTTAGCCCCAGAACTAGGAAGGCAGACACGTCGACCCATACAGTGTTACCCTATCTTTCCAGAAAAAGAAACTAAACTTAAGGTCATGAGCTCTTGATTCCGAAGCCAGCCAAGAGCTGAGTGAACCCCAGAGGACCAAGGTCACACGCTTCTCAGTATGTCACCTTATTTCTATCCCCGATTATCCTTCAACTCACCAGCTCTGGGCTCACTGGTCATTTCCTCTCTTTTAATAAAATGGGAATTTAGTTTGTATCCTGCTTCATGAGGCTTTAGAAAGAATCCTTCCAGTTGATTAGCCACTGCACTGGATTATAAAATACCAGCTAGGATTATGAATTAAGGCCTTTGTGAACACGAAATGAGACTGAAAGATAGGAGAGTGATGGAGGAGGGTTATCTGTCTATTGTGTTATTTTCATTGGTCAATAAAGAGACTGCCTTGGCCCCTTGATAGGACAGAAAATTAGGTAGGCGGAGTAAACAGAACAAAATGCTGGGAAGAGGGCTATGAGCCAGACGCCATGGAGCCAGCCACTAGGTCAGACATGCTGAATCTTTTCCGGTAAGCCACCACGATTACACAGATTATTAGAAATGGGTTAATATCAAGATATGAGAGTTAGTCAGTAACTAACTCTCTAGAGATAATGGGCCAGGCAGTGTTTAAATGAATATAACTTGTGTGTTATTATTTCTGGGGCTAAGCTAGCTGTGCGGGAGCCGGGCAGGATGAAAAGCAGGCTTGCCCGCAGTCCCTCACTACAGGAGAGTAGTTCATACAGATTTAGGCATTTTGGGGTGTGCATGTGCACATATGTACATATGCATGTGGAGGTCAGCGATCAGCCTCAGGTGGTTTTGTCAGTTGCTGTCCACCTTATTTTTTCTTCTGCAGTGAGATGTTCATCATACATTCTGGCAAGACTGACCATATCTGTGCCTGTTTACACTCGGAACAAAGGATCACTTAGTACATTTTTTTCCCCATTACAAAGTTACTTCAGAAGCTACCTGAAAACAAAATTAGGATTGATTCTTAGCAAAGAAAAATACAAAAAAAGAAATTGATTTCCTGACAGTTGTTGGGAGGTGGGGTTCAAGTCACAGTTTCTCTGTGTAGTTTGAAGCCTGTCCTGGAACTCACCCTGTACACCAGGCAAACTCAAGAGATCCACCTGCCTCTGCCTCCCCAGTGCTGGGATTAAAGGCGTGAGCCACCACTTCCCAGCCCTGGCAGTTTTCTTATTGTATGTATACACATGTATGTGCAGGTATGTATGTATGCATGTAGAACCCAAAGGACAGCCTCTGTATCCACCTCCTTTCAAACAAGGTCTTTCAGCCTGGAGCTCACTAATTGCGCTAGATTAGCAGGTCATCAAGCCCCAGACATCTGCTTATCATCATCTCCCCAGAACTGGGACTATGAGAGAACACCACTGCATCTGGCATTCTTATATGAACTATGAGACCTGACCTCAACTCTTCATAAAAACACTTTACTGAGTTATTTCTCCTCCTAAGACAGTTTTGTTGTTGTTTTGGTTGAGACAGGGTTTCTCTGTGTAGCCATGGCTGTCCTGGGACTCACTCTGTAGACCAGGGTGGTCTTACACTCACAGAAATTCACCTTCCTCTGCCTCCCGAGTGCTGGGATTAAAGGTGTATACCACCGCTCAGTCCTGAGGGTTTGTACAACCAACATAGTTTGCAGTCAAGTCTAACAGTGTTGTTTGCAAGGAATCTATCTGGTAGACAGCACTTTCACTCACTCAGAAAAGGGTACTACAGAATAGTATCTAATACATGCAAAGGACTGTAGATTCTGAATCTTCTTAACAGTCCCGTTTTGTATTTTGTGTGACTGACGGCCATGCAAACCAAGCCATAGCAGTATTTTAAGGTATTCAGAATGTTTTTGAATGTTTTGATTCTTCTGCCTGCCACCTGGGATCCAGCATTGTATCCTCACAGGACTCAGCTGAAAGGAAGTTCACTTAGGCACTAGCCAGGAGAATGGCAAGTCCTGTTACACTGTTAACAGATAGCCAATAAGTCAGTCAGTTAGGGCTGAAAGTTCTTCTGAAACCTAAGGGCAGAATGAGAAAAGGGAGGACAGAGTTTAGACCTGGGTCTGGGATCAGTCTCCATCTCCTGAGTATTATCCAAAGTACAAGCAATGTACAGGAGTCTTGAAAAAGCTATTTCTCTAACTTTCAAGCCAGAGTATCCCAAGTTCCTGTGTTTTATTCCTACATGCTTATAAATATAATCTCCCTGCAGCTCTATTTGGCCAAAATTTATAGTACATTTAAAATCCCAGATAAGTGGACATCTCTTCATGTTTTCTGTGCATGGACCTGGGATGGAGTAAAACGACGAATAAAAGACCCTTAGAGAAAAAATCCTAGGGTTTCTAGAAAGTCTGCAAATTCCTTTATTGTTTTTTTTCAGTAATATAAAATGTATTTGCAAACACATCTGAATCACCTCAATCAGGAATTTCATTTAAAAAATTAATCACAGAGTTTTAAACTGATTATTCAATTTGACAACAAATACCCTATACTTTTGACATTGATTCCAATGAAATTTTTTCAATCATGTTGAGTCAAAACCAGCACCTCAAGGATGGCAAAGATATATTGGTTCATTTCCTTTTCCTGCCAGCTTTGCCAAAGACAAACTAGATAAGTTGAAGGGAAGAAAGGGGCCTGGCTTCAGGGTCTATCTCCTTAGCCCCATATATCCTTAATTTTGTTGTTGTTGTTGTTTGTTTGTTTGTTTGTTTGTTTTAAAGGTGGGGTATTTCTAGAACAGGAAACAAGGAAGTAACATCTGGCTAAAAGATACCAATAGAATAAACCTTATAAAAAATAAAGAAGATGGTCCTGGTCCCCCTGGGCCAGTTCTGAACTTCTCACAGGCAACAGAGGCCAGCAGGACTGAAACAGCCTACATGTAGAGCTGGGGCCCAGTCAAGAGTCCACATTCACGTGTGGCGGGGCTCCACTGGCCATGCTTCATCACCCACGCCAGCTGCTGGGTGCCCAGCTTGACTGGCAGACGTTAGATACTGCAGCCCTTCCTGCCACAAGTTTGGGGCACTCCTTGAAGATACGGGACAACTGGAAAACCATTTTGTTTTTGGTTTTCCAGTTTCTCCCATTTGAACTGCCAAGAAGACACTGACCTCTGGCTTCAGGAAGTGATAGGCAGGGTTAATTATGTTCTTTAGTGCTGGGTGGATTTGTATTTTTTCTCTCTAAAGTTTTTTGAGCAAGGCCAGGGCCTCTGGTGTTGAGGACAGTCTTAACTCCTGCTTTACAAACCAGTCTCCCAAATGGTGGAAGGACAGGTGCCCACACATCCAGCCTAGAAGTGGTCTTAACATTTCGTCAGTGTGTGGTCTCCCTCTTCGCGCGACTACCCCAGGAGCCAGCATTTCAAGGCGCATGGGGCCGGAGTGCTGATCTCAGCTGCATCTAGTCTTGGATGACCTGGCTTAGCTGCAGTGAAGAGTGGAAATTAGCCACTGCTGATACACCAACAGTCTCCAGTATGATGGGTGGATTCCACCTCGATCCATGATTTAGTGAAAACTATCTGTGAGGTATGTTTTGTGTGTGGGAAAAAAGGTGGAGAGAAATAATGAAGGGAAAAAAAAAACAGTCAAAGGCAGTGTACCTTATATTGGTTTCTTCACACTGAATGAAGTGCTGAGAAGTGACAGGAGAGAGAACTCTGAAACAAGCTCAGGCACTCCCTCTGGTGCTAGCTTTGAGACCTCACACACAAAAAGCCTTTCAAAAGGAGCTCTCTCCCAGGATATGGAGCGCATGAGAGCCTAAGGCTCACCTCAAGACAGCAACTCCAATGTCAGACTAGAGGAAGTAAAAACAGCACCAAGCAGTGTACAGGAGGCTGGTGCCTGCACCAGTTCTCTCAGAGCTGGCTGTGTGAGACAGGGCAGGCCCCTGTCACAGCTCAGCTGCCTAAGAAGTAGGAGGAAAAGCAGAGGCACAATGGGGAGACCCAGCCTCCCGGATGTCAGAGCTTGGCTCTGCTTTACCAAGCTAACTCCGAGGATACAAAGCTTCTTTCTTGTTGTAGTGAGAGTTTGCAGCATTCTCAGAGGAACTACGGCTCCGAGGTGGAACGAACTGTAAACCACACCACAGGGTACGTGAGGGCTATGTGGGCGCAGGTATCTTCTTGGAGGGGGGAAGCACTGCTCATCACATCACTGCCTCTCTCTAAGAACACTGTGAAATGTGCTCAGTCCAAAAGCCTGTCCCCAGGAGACACAAACTATTTCTAGGGATAGGATGTGTCCAGTTAACACGGGCCCAGCCTGTGTCATACGCCACGTGCAAGCTAGAGCATCTTCCTGAGTGGTTTAGTGAGGGTACGGCAACGGGGAAAAGCACTGAGAAAACACAGACTTGACGGGGAGTGCACACTGCTGTGGTTGAAAGAAAGGTACCCTTCACACACACAGGAACCTGACCCCTGTCGCTCCTCCTCCTCCTGTGCCCCAGCTCTGGGGACCCCCAGAAATACCCCACAGACCCTTCCTGGGCAGCCCTGGCCCTGCATCCCCACTGTGTCTCTGGCTAGAAGTGGTGCTGGTGGACAGCCGCAGGTGAGGGTCCTTTCTCCAGCCGCTTGACATGGCAGGAGTGACAGAACAGGTGGTCCTCCAGCGGGTAGCAGCGGTGACCATCCTCATCATTGAGCTCTAGACCACAGTCCTGCAAGGAGGCAAGAATGTCCCATGAGAAGAAAACAGACTGCAAGGGTAACACGAAACTACAGTCCACCAAATCAGCAAAGGATGCTCCATAGTTGTCGGAGCTGCCATCCAGTGCTGCCATCTAGTGGCCACCATAAAGCTCTCCAAGTGGGACTGGCTAGAACTAAGCTATGGCTTCACAACAAATACCAGGCTTCCAAGACAGAAGACAAAAAGAAGATAAAAAAAAAATCTTATAGTTTTTATATGAACTACAGATTGAAATAATAACATTGTGCATCTTATGGGTTGGTTAATTAATCCCATAATCCCCCCTCTTTTGAGATAATAGTGTCTCATGTAGTCCAGGCTTGCTGTGTTATCTGTAGTCAAAGACCTTGAACTTTAGATCCTCCTGTTCCAGCATCCTAAGTGATGGAGTTATAGGTATGCACCACCACTCATAGTTTTTGAGATGCTTCATGCTGAACCCAGGACTTCATGCATGGTGGGCAGGTACTCTACCAACAGAACCACATCACCAGCATCCCCAACCTGTTTCTTCCGACAGAACCACATCACCAGCATCCCCAACCTGTTTCTATCAACTATTCGAATATGGCTACTAAAAAAGGAAGAGACTCACATAATTTCAATTGTGGTACTTGTAATTTTTTGTTGTTGTTTTGCTTTTTTTTTTTTTTTGACCTCAAGAGGTTTGCCTGCCTCTGCCACCACCACTGGGTGAGGCACTTATATTTCTAATGGTCAACCAGGGTCATGAACATGCAGAGAAGATTGTTAAGTCTTCACTCTCTTCTCTGACTCATGATATACCACCAGCATGAGTCCCATCTGCTTCTTCAGTGCTAGCAGTAAGACCCATCCACATGCTCACAATACTCACTGCTCTCCCTACCTACAACACCACAGTGAATGGAGTCTAATTGTAAGGATGAATCCACTCGGTTTGGCTGGAACTGGTGCAGTGACATCTAGCTTTTCTTGCAGTCATGTAGCACCTATGGCTTCTTTAATGTAGGATATCACACGGGGCACAGAGAGCAGCCCCCCCCACACACACCTTCATACCCACCTTGGGTATAATCTTCTGGATTTCCAGGGCTCAGTTCAGACAGAAGCTTCTGACAGACAGAGCATTCTGTACCCAGGAGAGAAGATCATCTCCCCGACCCTCACTATCCTCATTATACTCCCTAAGTGACGGTCTGACTCTGAGCCCCACTCTACACAAAATTCCGAGTTCTGTAGCTACAGGGATGACAACTGCAAGCTTCAGAACTTCCTAGTTTTGAATCTGCAGAAAATGACATAGGCCTCCACCCAATACATCTCTTATTACCCCCATACAGTCAGCTCCTGGAGAACAGACCTCAGAGATGTGGTGACCACCCTAGTCCCAGGACACAGGAGGCATTTAAAGGTAGGCTCTGGGGATGGAGATGGGGGGCTTACCTCACAGTGGTAGCACTCCACGTGGTAGTCTCTGTCCATGGACACAACACGGATGGTCTCATCTGAGCCCTGGGACAAAAGAAAAGCAAGACATACAAAGAGGCCATTAGAATTCCATGGAATACCACCAGCAATGGGGTAGGATGGGAGGAGATTGTGGGGTAATAGTGAAGGTCTTTGGGGAGGGATATAAATCAAAAGTGAATACTAAACACTTATAGGAAAAAGATCAGATTCGGTAGATGTGAAAATAGGGCTGGGGCAGTGTCAGAGACAATACCAAAAGAAACACCAATGGTGACAGATCTTTTTCTTTCTTTTTTGCATGTGTATGTATGCATGACTGCATGTGCATAGGCACACACAGGTATGCACATGCATGTAAAAGTCAGAGGCTTATGTTTGGTGTCTTCCTCCTCCACTCTCTATTTTATTCACTAAGGCAGGGTTTCAGGGATGTTTATTTTTAAAAAGCGAGTAAAAGACAAGCATCCTCTTCCTCTAATCGAAGACGGTTTGGCCTGGTCCTTGGGACAAACAGGCACAAGAAGCACACGGAGCTAGGAAGCCAGTGCAGGAGAAAGGAATAGTACTGGGCACTGGAGGGCTATGCTGAAAGGTGTAAGAACAGATCTTCTTAGTGAGTCATGGGGGACAGTCCAGTCTTTAGACGACCTAGGAGCAGATCTAGAAAAGCATCTCACCTCTGGTGGAAGGATGGGAAGCCCACAGGCTGCACACTTTGGGGCCAGCACCCTGGAGGAGAAAAAAAGGGAACATGGTACACACTTGTTATCAGAATATGAATGCCAACAAGGGCCTGCCTGGACCCTCCATGGCTAGCACTCAGGGTTATGTGGACCTGGGCTCACTTTTTGGAATATAAACATTATATTTCATGCCCTGCTACAAGGGCATCTGGCTGCTTCCTGCTCCCCTAAGAATAAAGATGAAGCTGGCTGTTTGCTCCCGTCACAGCTGGGATGGTCCAATAAGCAGAGTGGTAGGTGCTAAGCCTGACGTGGTACCTGGGGAAATTGGGTAAAGTTGGAGTCACAGGCTTGCTGGATTCCTCTGATTGCAGTTTTGTGTTCTGCTTTATCACCAAACAAACTTTTAAAGAGTTTCTACACACTTTCCATTCTGCTGAGCTCCGTGGGGCTTGTGTAAGGCTGCCATCTACTCCCTTCCTCTCTCCTTACTTGTGGTAATCCCGGACACAGTAGATCTTGTTCTCGGAGTCCACAGTGAAAGGCACCCCATCCAGACACTCATTACAGATGACACAGCGGAAACAGCCAGGGTGATAGGACTTCCCTAGGGCCTGCAGGATCTGAGGACACAAAGGAAAACTCACAGAGATGAAGGGAAGGAAGGGGCACAAAGAAAGAGGAACACGTAAGTTGAGGGGCCACATGCACAGCTGCACCAGGGCACAGGCTCCACCCAGCCCAGAGCTTCACCTGAACAAAGGTCAAGAGAGGGCTGGTCTGCTCAGACGTGTGGACAGGAGAGGATCAAACAGGGACCTCTGCAAATTCTCATCTGCCGACTGGGAGGGGATGGAAAGCTCCTGTCTGATCCCTCTCATAGCAGAAACTTGTTCCTTCCTAAAAAGCCATTATTCTACGCAGGGCTAACCTTGTCCTGGGACCAAAACCTCTGGGTAACCAGCTAAAAAGAATCCACCCCTGATATGGAAAGCAACAAGCATTCCAGATGGAACTTGAAGAACTTGGACAAAACCTCCTCACACTGACTCCTGGGGCCCCTTCCACTCAGCTTTGATTCTACAGTGTGACAATCTAGACGCCTGGCCGGAGCCCTGATCATCTCAGATCCAAGTGTAGCAGACTAAGTCCCTTTGCTGGGTTGTTTTTGTTTGTTTGTGGGATTTTTTGTTGTTGTTTGGTTGATTTTCGAGACAGAGTTTCTCTGTAGCTTTGGAGCCTGTTCTGGAACTAATTGTAGTAGACCAGACTGGCCTCAAAGTCACAGAGATCCACCTGCCTCTCCCTCCTGAGTACTGAGATTAAAGGCGTGGACCACCACCGCCTGGCTCTTGTGCCACCACCGCCCAGTGTTGTCCTTGTTTTTAAAACAAAATGAAGGAAAAGCCCAAGGGCTTCCCTTCCTCGCTGTATCATCTGATTTGGGTGTGATGCCTTGAACTACCAGAGCCTTTTCAAAACAAAAGACTAAGACACAGAGGAGAGGAGGGCAAACAGAGGAAAGAGAAGCCCAGGGGAGGGGAAGGGAGGAGAGGGGAGGGAAGAGGAAAGGAAAGAGGGAGTTGAGGGGAAGGGACAAAAGAAGAAAGGGTAAGAGGGTGTTGAGGAGAAAGGAGAGGGGAGGGAGGAAAGAGAAAGGGAGCCAAGGAGAGAAGAAGAGGGAGCAGGAAGGGGGACAGGGTGGAGGAGAGAGAGGAGGTGAGCAGGGGAGGGAACAAGGAGAAAGAGGGAAAAGAGGCATTGGGAAGAGAGAGGAAATGGAAGAAAGGAAAGAGGGGGAAGGGAAAGGAGAACCAGGAAGGAAGGCACATCTTTGGCAAGGTCGGTGGGTCAGTAATAGAACATACGGGGAATGACTGACTTATCGCCTTGTCCTGTAAAGTCCTGCTCACAAAGTGTGGTCCCTGCACCTTAAACTTTAGCACTACCTGGGAACTTGGTCTTAAAAAAAATGCACATTCTCAGACCCCATCCTTGATCTCCTCATTCAGAATCACCAGGTGTGATGTCTAGCAGGTGTCTTAAGATGGTGAGATGCCCCAGGTGGTGGTGGCACGCACCTTTAAGTACGAAGAAAAAGAAGGAGGAGGAGGAGAGGAGAAGGATGGGGAGGAGGGGGGGAGAAGAAGGAAGAGGAGGGGGAGGACTGGGAGGAGGACTGGGAGGAGGAGGAAGGATGAGGAGGAAGGAAGGAAGGAAGGAAGGAAGGAAGGAAGGAAGGAAGGAAGG